TAAACTCTATTCCATTATCACTACGAACTATTTTCACCTTTTGAGAAAATTGACGATCAATCATGGCAACAAAGGACATAAACATTTAAAAAACCTCTATTTTATCAATCAAGAGATAAACCCATATAGCCCTAGAGTAATCATCCACCAAAGTCAAGAAGTAGCGTGCACCACAGGAAGAAAGTTCATTGTACGGACCCCATAAATCTCAATGAATTAGCTCAAATATTCGAGTGGATTTATGTTGACTTGAGGGAAAACTATTGCGAGATTGTTTAGCCCGATGACATACCTCACATCCTTTATCTAAATGATCCTTAGAGTTGGAAAGAAAAGGGAGCAACCTTACTACATTCTCGGATGGGTGACCTAATCGGTGATGCCATAATTCCAAGGACTTCAAACTAGGAACTGAAACGGCTTGCACTATAAGACGTTGTTACAGATAATAAAGTCCATCTCATCGCTCACCTGTGCCAATCACCTCCCTCGAACGTTGGTCCTGAATAGCACATAAGTTAGAGTTAGATTGGATAAAACAATGAAGTTTGTCACTCAACTGTGAAACCAATAGTAAATTGCACTTTAATTAAGGGACAAAGAAAACGTTGTGAAGAATTATAGAGTCAGTCAATTTCACAACGCTTGCTTATTAGCAACCACGGTTTGTCCATCTGAAAGTCCCACAGGACAGGATGGGATCATTGGAATCTCCAACAAACAATGGTAAGAACAACCCGTATCAATAATCCAATCATCATTACCGTGCAATCGATTGAGAGAAGCACTCAACACGACTACTATCAATGGAGATTTTTCTCTATTCGTCATGGTGGAATTAAACTAAACCCAAATCTGCACACATAAAAAATGAACTAGTAATCTGAACTATACCAAAAATTTAGACCGAACCGCCCAATGAATCGAACCGATGGCTGAACCAAACCAGAAAATTAGACCGAACCGAAAGAAGGGCCGAACCAAAAAATTGCACTAAAAAATGTTCTCATATCTGTATTTGCTGAAACAAAATATCCCTATAGTTTAGGTTAGAGGTCGAACCAATAATTGCACCAAAATATCCTTATGTTCCCAAATCTGGATCTGGATTTCCCAAATTTGCAACGTGCGGCCAGCAACCTTCACGGGGTCGACTGCAGTAGCGCCAATGATCGGTGGGTCGATCAATACGACTGCGACAGCACTGGCAGCGGATCAAAGCAACTATTGCGGCGTCGGTGGTGGACGAGCGCTAATATTGGAGATTCAATCGGTGATACGCCAATAAAAAAAAGCCACTAGAGATCGACAGGCAGCTACAAATAGCTACACCGAAGATGCGCAGATAAAAACAGCTACAGCAATAGCAGAGGTCGACAGACGAGATTCCTTCACCGGAGATGAAATTCTAAACGTCCTAACTTCGCTCTGATACCATGACAATTTCGGTATAATTTCCCCTAGGTTTTTCATTGAAGCAAAAATGATACAAATTATACATGTATTGCCTAAACTAAACAAGGAAACAAAACTAAAGAAGGAAAAACAATAAAGTACGATAATGTACGATAATGTACAATATAAAATCATACCAGGGTTTGAATCACCACTCTCAAATGTTATTATACTAAAAGATAATAAATTTATATTTAAAATTTGGTTAAAATATTAGTTTGGTCCCTAGCTCATTTTGGTCCTTTGACTTTTAATTTTAGTTCGTTTTAGTCCTTGTACTTTCAAAATGTTCATTTTGATCCCTTAATTTTATTCTCGATCTCATTTTTTTCTATCACAATTTCAACATGACACTAGCATCAATATATTTCTTAAAATGTAAACATTATTTTAAACTAAAGAGTTTTCGTTATGTGTAAAATTTGTGTTAAAATTTTGCAAAAAGAGTGACTAAAATGATTATTTTTTAAAAGTACAGGGACCAAAATGAACATTTTCAAAGTATCGAGACTAAAATAAATCAAAGTTTAAAGTACATTGATCAAAATTAACATTTTAAAAGTACAAGACTTAAATGAACTAGACCAAAATAGTATTTTAACTTTAAATTTTTATAGAATTTATAGATCTTATTCGGGGATAAAATATCTGATTGCCACGTGGAGGACAGAGATTGACTGTCAGAAGAGATGGTTTGAAAGAATTATTCTCCTCCTCGGAAAATTCATTACCCCTAATTGTACTACAACCTCGAAAGTATCCGAGTTTGATCTACTCGAACTCGACATGTCCGACCTCAAAACCGACCAGATCGTGACCCCTATCGGGACCTAAACCTATAAATAGAGGGCCTCATTTCACCATCAGGTATCGATTTTCTCCTCGAACTTAATATTGAGTTCGAGCTGCTTACTGACTTGAGCGTTGGAGATTTTGCAATCTTGTGCAGGTCTTCCCTTCGTCTTTCAGGTCGGAGCGACGACTGGGTTCGAGCTCAAGAACCGTTGTGCAAATTCTTGCATAAACATTTGGCGTCGTCTGTGGGAAGGACATTTCAAGTCATCCCAACAACTAAAAAGTGATCCTAGAATGGTGCAGCCAGCGAACTCTGCCAGTACGACAGAACGGAGAGGTTTGCACGCTGACAATGGCATTGAGCGTGACCTCGACGCCAGAATAGTCGAGGACCAAGTCCGAGCAGGGCAAGAGGGAGATCTGCTACGAAGATCTACTCGCCATGCGAATCATGAATTACCTCTTGCTCACCCTAGACTTCCAAAAGCCAACCGAGGTTGAGGTGGGACCTCAAAAAAGACCTCTCGAAGGGCGGCCCCAGGCGCGGACCCTGAAGTTCTGGCTACCCTTCAGCGGGAGTTGGACGACATGCGCAATCAAGTGCGCACCATG